GGCCCCAGTGGCAGGGTTCGCATGGGGGCCCCGCGCCATCTTGGCGCACCCCTTGCGCGGTTTGTGGCCCCATATGGGGCTCCACCGAAGGCCCCAGAGGCAAGGTTCGCATGGCGGCCCCGCGCCAGTTTGGTGCACCCCTCACACGGTTCGTGGCCCCATAGGGAGCTCCGCCGAAAGCTCCAGTGGCAGGGTTCGCATGGCGGCCCCGCACCATTTTGGGGCACCCCTAACACGGTTCGTGGTCCCATAGGGAGTTCCACCGAAGGCCCCAGTGGCAGGGTTCGCATGGCGGCCCCGCGCCAGTTTGGTGCACCCCTCACACGGTTCGTGGCCCCATAGGGAGCTCCACCGAAGGCCCCAGTGGCAGGGTTCGCATGGCGGCCCCGCACCATTTTGGCGCACCCCTCGCGCGATTCGTGGCCCCATAGGGAGCTCCACCGAAGGGCCCAGTGACAGGGTTCGCATGGCGGCCCCGCGCCAGTTTGGTGCACCCCTCACACGGTTCGTGGCCCCATGAGGAATTCCCCTTGCTTCGTCCCACCTGCCCTGCGGTTTTCACACTTGCGTATGGTTGGGCCCTTCGCTTGGATAATGTTTCGGACCCAGCTCTGGTGGCAGACCGAGTTCGGGCGTCTGGATACTCGAGACCAGCGCTTCTGATATTTTCCTTTGGATTGCTGTGCCAAACAGCTCTGTAGCTCATTTACAGCTCCAGTTACATCAAGAAGCTCATCATATCTAAAGAATTCGCAGAGTACGATAGTTTTTCGGACCCAGCTCTGGTAGCAGACCAAGTTCGGGCATCTAGATACTTGAGACGAACGCCTCTGAGGATTTACTTCAAGTGCTGTGCCAAAGAGCTCTGTAGCTCATCTGCAGCTCGAGTTACATCAAGAAACTCATCATCATATCTGAAAGAATAGCAGAGCACGAGTAGTTTTCGGAACCAGCTCTGGAAGCAGACCGAGTTCGGGCATCTAGATACTTGAGACTAGCGCTTTTGATGATTCTCTTCCGATTGCTGTGCCGAACAGCTGTGTAGCTCATCTGCAGCTCGAGGTAAGTTCAGAAAACCGACAGCACCTGCCAAGATGACACTAAACAGCCGATCCCGCCTGAGTGCTTCTTGATGGTAATATGTACCCGATCGACCTAATATTCAGATGGCGAGCGGGAATAAGATCGAATATGGGTAGATCAAATATTAGAGCTCGAGCGAATTTTCGAATTTTGGAGGAATTGATTTTTAACAGACGAGAATTATGCAAAACTTCCGTCGATATTTTTTTGCCAACTAGCCCCCCATCGCGCCGGAATTACTCTCTAGCTTCGCCGCTTCGCTCTTAGGGAAGCTCTACGAGCCATTTTCAAATATCGAAATCTTCACAAAACCGGCCCCAGATTGTCACATTATCCGCCCTGGCCGGGTCGGCCAACTGGGAACCGGCGGTAAACTGCCAACCAGGTTTCCGATGCCTCGTAGAGCTCTTCACACTTGAGAAGAGGCCCAGAATACGACGAGAAAGCCCTCGAAATTCAAAAACTCGGATTTTTTCCCGTCTTGAACGAAGTTACGCCGCGAAGTGTTCTGATAGTAATACTGCAGCTAGAGATCTGGGAACTCGACAAGCGACCCGTCATAATCTGCTGCAGGTGCAGAGCATACTTGAGCTGTGTAGTTCGCTTCTTGCTTTCGTTAAGCCTGCGAAACCGTTATCATCTCGAAAATGTATCCCGACGGCCGATCGTTCCCCCTAATTTTCGAGAGCTGTACTACAGCTACAGGCCTCAGACTCTCACCACTGAACGCGACATAATCCACTATAGTTTTCCACAACGAATTGTTAAATCTCACACAATCTCCAAAAAACTGACCCCAGGTTCCCACATTGTCCGCACGGGCCGGGTGGGCCAACTGGGAGCCGACGGTAAACCGTCAACCAGGTTACCGCGGGGACCCTCGCAGAGCTCCCAACACGCAACTCAGCGCCCAGATAACGAGGAGAGAGCGTTCTCGAATGTCGGCTCGAAAACTTGCAACATGTTTTTTTTGGTTTTATACGACGTCGGCTCCTTCTAGTGCTTTGATCGAAATGCTGCACCTACAGCCCTGATAATTGCACCATGAAGCGCGGAGGAGGAGGAGGAGGAGGTGGAGGAGGAGGAGGATTAGGAGGAGGAAGGGGAGGAGGAAGATGATGATGATGATGATGATGATGATGATGATGATGATGATGATGATGTGATGATGATGAGATGATGATGATGATGATGATGTGATGATGATGATGATGATGATGATGATGATGATGATGATGATGATGATGATGATGATGATGATGATGATGATGATGAGGAGGAGGAGGAGGAGGAGGAGGAGGAGGAGGAGGAGGAACAGGACGAGGAGGGGGGAGAGGCACAGGAAGACGACGACTCTGGTAACTGTCCCAGGGTCTTCCGGAGGCCCTGTTCAGGTTTTCTCGGGGCTCCCCGCGGCTTTCGTGGGGCTATTTTGGAGGTTTTTGGTTTCGTTTTGGAGCTAGTTTGGGGGGACTTGGGGTTTTCATGCGGTCTTTTTTTGGGCTTCTTACGAGCGCTGGAGGCCCTTTTGGGGCCATCATGCAAGGCGCCGATCGCAAGAATGGAGTCTGCGTCCTTCAGGTGCCCCTCAAAAACCCCTCTAACAGGCATCTCGGGCCTTCTTGGGGGTCTTGAGGCCATCTTGGGGGCCTCTGGGTCTCTCTTGGGGCTCGCTTGGGCCATCTTGGGCCATCTTGAGACTTCGAAGCCGCATCGGAAGGAGTAAGGCGACAATACGAACGTTATGGAGAAGGCGACACGGATTTTGGCCTTGTGGGGAAATCCAGAGGGGGCTCCGAGAGCACTTGGAGCCGTCTTGTGGTCCTCTTGGGGCCTCCTGGAGGCATGTCGGGAGCCAGCTTGAACCAGCTTGAGATATCTTGAACCATCTTGGGGGCCATCTTGGAGCATCGGATGCCCTCTTGGAAGCATCTCGGGCCAATAAGTACTCCTAACACATCGCGGGGGCCCTCCGAACCTCAGGAGGAGGGGGGAGGGCACCCCTCCCCGAAGTGAAGAGGGATTTTGGAAGTGGAGAAGATGAACCCGTTAGACCATCTACACCAAGAGGGCTGGTTCGTTTCGCCTGTTCTCTGTTTTCCGCTTCTGTTCTTGCTGCCCGCGTGTAGGTGTTGCTGTTTTGTCCTCTTCCTGTTGCGCGATTCTTGGTGGCTTCTTGGAGGTCTCGGGGGCGACCGCGTCGGAGCCCTTCCAGGGCTCCTCGTGTTTTTTTGGGCCATCAGGGCGCTTTGGGGATCTCTTGGGCATGTTTTGGGCCTCGGGGACAGCGTGAGGGGACGCATCCCTGGGCCCTTGCGAGTTCCCCCACTTGCGCCTCTTCTGAGGTCCTCTTGCGGCCCTCGTGCGGACCTCGGCCATCTTTGGGGCATCTTCGAGACCGTCCTGGGGCCCTGTTGGGCCGCGCCCGGGCCATCTTCAGGATCTCTCGGACCAGGGACCCCAGGGAAACATTATGTTTGCCCCCTGAGGCCGTCTTGGAGGCTTGCTTGGAGCCCTCTCGAGGCGTCTTGGGGACCTGTCCGGCCATGTGGAGGCCATCTCGGGTGCTCTTGAGGCCGTTCGCGCGGCGCCCGTCTTGAGCCGTCTTGGAAGGCACCTGGGGCATCATGGATGCGACGGAGGCCGGATTGGGAGGCTCCGAGGTCCGTGAATGTCTGTAGGCCGTAGTGTGACCCCCCGTTGAACGTGATTTTGGGCCCTGGGGGGACGGGGAAAGGAGAGGGGAGACAGCCAGATGCATCACTTCGCTTTTTTATCCTGGCAATCGGGGGTCGGCGGATTTCCAGTTCAGTCTCCTTCAGTTTTCCTGTTTGTCTGTCTGCCTGCCTGCCTGCCTTCCTGCCTGCCTGCCTGTCTGTCTGTCTGTCTGTCTGTCTGCCTGTCTGTCTGTCTGTCTGTCTGTCTGTCTGCCTGCCTGCCTGCCTGCCTGCCTGCCTGCCTGTCTGTCTGTCTGTCTGTCTGTCTGTCTGTCTGTCTGTCTGTCTGTCTCTCTGTCTCTCTCTCTCTGTCTATCTCTCATTATCTCTTTCCCTTTTTTCTCTCTCGATCTCTCTTTCCAGTCCTGGCACCCGCTTATCTTCGGGACGGGTGGCCACCAGTACAGGCGTAGGAGGAAGGTCCGAGGCTGAATTCCGCAGGGAGCTACCGCCCGCACGGTATCCGCAGCTAGAACCTTGGCCCTGGCCAGCCCGTGTTCGAACCGTGCCAGGCCAGTACTGCTCTTGCAGTGAGTTGTAGGAGGAGAGGCAGGAGGAGGAGGAGGAGGAGCAGTACGAGGATGAAGAAGAGGATGAGGAGGAGAAGGAGGAAGAGGAAAGCGGACTGTGTCACTCTCCGAATTAGTATATTTCCCTCCTGCTCCCGAACTTCCTCACTCCTTTCTTCTCTCCTGCCGCTTCCTGTCTCCTGCGTTCTTGTATCTCCTCCATGCGCCTGCGGCAACTTGTTCTCCCTCCCCCAGTTGGCGCCTGTGCCAGGGATGGGCGGGGACAGAACTCTGAGGAAGTCATGTGCAGAGCTAGATCGAACAACCGAACCTTCGGAACGGAACCCGTCAGTACGTGGGGGGCGTGCCAACCCTCCCAGCAGTGCTGGTCTTTGGGCCGGCAGCCTGGGGGCCAGGACGGGAGCGGAGAGACCCGAGGCTTGGAGCGTCCTTGCTAGCACATTGCTGTTCGCCTAGTGGCAGCTTGCAGGCAGCTGTCATCTGGTGTCTCGTATCCCGTGGCCCGCATGTGGCCTTGTGTGTGTGTGTGTGTGTGTGTGTGTGTGCGTGTGCGTGTGCGATTGTGTGCGTTTGCGTTTGTCTGCCGTCCTCTTCGGCACAAGCGCGCTTCAGCCGAGACACTCATCAGCTGGACATTCTGGGATTTGAGCGTTTGTGAAGGCCGCCTTCGATGGCGATGGCGACGGCAGCTGAGATGAGCGTGCCGAAGATGAGCGGGCCGAAGGTGTGCATAGATGCCGAGATGAGCGTGCCGAAGGTGTGGACGGTGGACGCGCACGGCGTCCTGGCACCGCTGAAGGCGGCGACGCCGCTGATTCCGAGCCCGAGCGACCAAGGAATTCAGCCGCAGGAGGGCGACGACACGAGGCCGCCGAACGCCTTCAGGCCCGAGAAGCTGAACAGGATAGTCAGCTACGGTGAAGCATCGGTGGGCTTCTCGTCGTCCCAGGGTCAACGCTGTGGGTCGGCTTCTTCCACGGCTTATGATATGATTGTGGAAGATTTGGGGGAAGGGCGATATGGACTCAACTTAACGGTCACGATGGACTTCGATACCGTTCACCCAGGTGAAAGTATGGTGGTGTGGATGAAGCGTGCAAAGCAGCTCATCAACGATGCGCGTGGCTCCGATGTTGTGCTGGTCGACACGACCTTTTACGATCAGGTTAACGGCCAGTGGGTCCGCATCGACACCGACATCCGCTTCGCCGCCGAGGCAGAGGCCATCGCCAAGTCTGTGATGGAGACGGACTCGGGCCAGACTGTGGGGCGGGTGGTGAGCGCCGGCGCCACGGACGATGCGAAGCTCGGCCCCGTGGGCGAGCGCGGACGGGTCGTGCTGAGCTACCGATGCGAGGAGCTGTACTGCTACGCAGAGATGGGCCTGGGGCCCGCCTGCGCGGAGCCGAGGCACCTGGTGCCCCTCGCCGTCCACTTGCCCCACGCTCCCCTGGACAGCCTGGGCGGTAGCGCGCACCTGTCCGTCACAGTGCGCGGGCCGCCGGCGTCGCGCTCGCTGGACCTGGTGGCCAACGTGCTTGCGCTGCAGCACCTGCGGCCCTCCCTGGGGGAGGGGCAGGACAACGTCCTCCTCCCGCTGCCGAAGATCGAAGAAGGAAACCTTGCATCAGCATAGTCTCTCGGAGGTCCGCGCTGATTTCTTGGGTCGGCGCTGGGACCCCACCCTCCCTGGCGCGCGGAGAGCGCCAGGGGGTCCTGGCGCCGATACAACAAATGCGCGCGCATCTCTGACAGTTCATGTTTACGCAGTTTTTTCCTCTCTGAGAAGACAGACCAGCGGGGAGCGGTCGAGTACAGCTTCTCCACGCCTGTGCTGCCCCCGAGGCCGACGTGCCTCCTCTTCTGGATGTCCTGCCCAGCTGCAGCGGAGGGCGAGTGGGAGCTCGTGGGCGGAATGCAGAAGCTCGACCTGTCGAGCTCGTCGGTGGCGCTGCAGCGGCCTGCGCCCGGGGACGAGCACTTTCTGCGATCTCCCATGCCGGGCCTCGCTCCAGAGGTTCGCCTGTTCCGCTGCACGGTCACGCCCCGGTTGGCATCGCCCCCGGTCGATGTCCTGCACGTGCACACGGACGTCGTGATCACCGACGCGTCGGGCTCCACGCGCATGTCGCTGCAGGGCGGCGGCCACAGTCTTCTTGGGGGCGGCGGTGGCCGCACGGTCCGCTCGGAGCTCAACCGCCAGGAGGAGCGCCGCTTCCTGCGGCGGCTCGAGAGCATCCCTCTCCTGGTGCAGAGCGGCGTTCTCCGAGCGCAGGACGTCTGGCGCCAGGTCTTCTGCGCCTTCGACCACTCCGTCAGGGAGTACTGGAGCTTCGAGTGCAGGGCGGGCGACGTCAGCGCAGAGCTGGTGCGGGCTGTGCAGTCTCTCGCGCAGGGGTCGGGCGGCACGCTCCAGGGCCGGCGCGGGGAGCTCGGCGCCGTGCAGGCGGGAGCAGCACAGCTGCTGGACTCGGTGGTGAAGACGCTGGAGACTCTCCGGCGCCTGGAGCCTGGCGGTGCCACTTCGTTCCAGGTGGCCGCCGACCACGTGGCCTCGTGCTACGCGGAGGAGGTCCAGGCGCACGTGCGGGCCCATCCCAAGCTGTGGAAGACCGCGTTCGTGAACTGGGACACTGACGGGGGCAACAACCGCGGCTCCTGTTACCAGGCTGTGCGACAGCTGCGGGAGCGCGCCGACGTGGTGGGTGGCTTCGTGATGGGCATCGGCGCCTGGGTGGACCAGGAATGCGCCATGCGCCTGGCCAAGATCCTGCGCGGGCCCTGCGTGCTGAGCCTGGACTTCCCGCCCGAGGACGCGCAGGACGCGATCTTCCGCAGGGATCTCCACCACTGGCTGCAGGCCATGAAAACCATGCCGCTCACAGCCACCGTGTCCGCAGGCTCGGTGCCGTGGGAGGCGCGCCACGGCACGCGCTGGGAGAACGCGGTCGACTGCCTCGCTGCAGTGCTCCCGGGAAGCAGTGTGGGCTCAGACGCCCAGCAGCCGAGCTTCGAACTACCAGACGTGAGCGAGATGGACCACACGAAGGCCGCTCTCAAAGGACTCAGCGCGGGCCAGCCCGTGGTGCTTTACCTCATGTCCAGGCTCCCGTTCGACGAGCTCGCCCGCAGGCTCCGCGTGGACTTCTCCACGGGGGGCCCCGCTGCCGTCGCCTGCGCGGACGAGCATGCGAGCGGCACAATGCTGGCGCACGACTGGATGCAGGTGCTGAGCGGGAGGGGCTGTGCGGTGCAGCGCAACAGCCACTCCCTGGTGCCGCGCGTGCAGCAGCTGCTCGAGGATTCGCTCTCCTTCAACTTCAATCTGCCCTCCGCCTCCGGGTCCACCGCGCGCCTCGGGCGCGCGAAGACGGACCACCGTACGCCCGTGCCCAGCGAGAGGCAGCCGAAGGAGCCGAGCATCAACCTGACCGTGGAGCACGGGGAGGTCACTCCTTCTCTTGCCCGTCAGCGCGGGGGATGGGGTGGGGCGATTGAGGGGGAGGGGGTCGGGCGATCACGAACATGGATTCAGGGGGCGTGGATTAGTGACGGATCCCGTTTCCATGGGAAAGTGCGGATTTTCCGCCGCCGAACGAGGCGGCAGCGGCCGACTTTTTGGGGAGGCGCCGCGCCAAATCCATGGATCGCTCATCCATGTTTGCATGCCCCCGAAGTATGCACATTTGGTAAGAACCTGGCCTGCCACCGGGTGGTCCACGAGGATTTTCTTATCTCCCGATGGGTCCGCACAGCCCTGGGGCACCTTAAGCAGCTGAGATTCGACGAAGGATGTGTCCCTACTTTGCTCATACCAAGATTTCCTATCGTACGTGCCTGGGAGGCCTTTTCAGAAGGCGGCAGGGTTTCCCAGAAGCCCTCCCGCCTTCTTCGAAGAAGAGAAAACGGCACAAACATAGTTTTTGGCGCTCCGCGCGGACTTCTTGGATCCGCGCCGGGCCCCCCCCCCCCTGGCGGCGCCTCCGTCCAGCGCGGATCCAAGAACTCCGCGCGGAGCCCCCAGAGTGTCTGTTTACTTGTTTTTTTTTTGAGTTGTCCTTGTGCTTCTCAGGGGCCCTCCTGGACCTCCTCTGAGGCCTCGGGCGGTTCCCGAGACCGGCGGCGGGGCCTCCGAGAAGCCCCCGCCGCTTTCCGAGAGGGCCGCCCGCTCCCCTGCCTCCTTCACCGGGCGCGCCGCCGCCGAGCCGCGGGTGGGTGGGTGGGGGGCGGCATGAGGCTCGGGGAGGGCTGGGAGGGCGAAGCGCGAGTGAGGAGGAGCTTGGAAAGGGGGCGAGTGCAGGCTTAAGTCGGGCCTGTCCCTCCACAGGAGGCTTCTTCAAAAACAGAATAACAATAGTCGGGGGACGTCTTTTTTGGACTATTTTCAAACGATCTCTGTCAACTTTCATTTTTCGTCCAAAATCCGCGTGTAGGGGGACATGCCCGACCTAAGTCTAGGCCTCCTAGATGGGGTCCGAGTGGATGGGGTCGGAGGATCGCGCCGCACCGACGATGCATCGGCGATGCGGCCCGATGTGGAGCCCGATTTGATCCACGCTGGCGTCGCCGATGCGTCGCCGATGTCGCCGATGCATTGCCAGTGCATCGATGATATATCGCCGACGCGGCGCGATCCTCCGACCCCATCTACTCCGACCCCATCTCGAAGGCCTCTCGCTAAAAGGGGCTGAGGGGGATCGGGTCGGGTCGGCCATCCACGACGGAGGTGTTGAGCCCTTGTTTCCCAGGCGAGTGCCGCACCTCACGGGCACGACAGCGTCAGGATGAGGATGAGGATGATGAGGATGAGGATGAGGATGAGAATGAGGATGAGGATGAGGATGAGGATGATGATGATGATGATGATGATGATGATGATGATGATGATGAGGATGAGGATGATGATGATGATGATGCTGATGCTGATGCTGATGCTGCTGCTGCTGATGATGATGATGATGATCATGATGATGATGATGATGATGATGATGATGATGAGGATGAGGATGAGGATGAGGATGAGGATGAGGATGATGAGGATGATGATGATGATGATGATGATGATGATGATGATGATGATGATGATGATGATGATGATGATGATGATGATGATGATGATGATGATGATGATGATGATGATGATGATGATGATGATGATGATGATGATGATGATGATGATGATGAGGAGGAGGAGGAGGAGGAGGAGGAGGAGGAGGAGGAGGAGGAGGAACGACTGGGAGAGCATCGGGAAGAACATCGCTGCCAGATCTCCCTGTTCGAGGAAGCACGGACATGTAGTTAAGGCGCGTCCGCTAGCGACGGGTCCCGCTTCTGGACAGCATTTTGCGCGCTCCGCCACCGAACGAGGCGGCACCGGCGCCTCGTCTCGGGGGGTATCTTCTGGATCCGTGGATTGGGGGGCGCCTGCGCGCCAGATCCACGGACCCCCAATCCATGTCAGCGTGTGCTGGACTCCCTCGTCTGCAGTCCCGGCCGCCCTTATTTTCCTTCTCTCCACCCAGGTTGCCTGCTCTGTCCGCCGTCTCTGCGACGGCCCTTCCCCGCCCAGAGTCAACAGCAGCGTTCTTTGCAGCTCTGGTAACGAAGCCCAGGTCGTCCGCGGGAACGCAAACGTGCTCGCGCTTCGCGCGGCGTGGCCTTGGCCAGGGAACTGCTTCTCCAGATGGGCGGCTCCAGGGCGAGAAGGTTCGTAACCACACGTCGCGCATTGGGCGGTGCGTTTGCTTCCTCCCGTACTTCGCCACGGGGTTCCTGTCCAAGGCGTTCCTTTGCAAGCACATCGTCTTCGGCACTGCCTGATCCCGAGGCTTTGCCTCCTCCTGGCCTTGACGTGAGGCCTATCCTTCTGCCCCGCCCTCTTTGTAAATTCAAGCTTCGCGCGGCCCGCTTAGCTTCGACCGGAAGAGGTGCGCTGTCGACCCGCGAATCAAAAAAGCATTGGGCGGTGCGATACCGCAAAATCAAGTGACCAAGGAACGCCTGCAGCAGTATCAACTCCAGCCGTTTCCCTGGCGGCCCTGGCCAGAGCCGCCCCTTGCGTGCGCGCTCCCGCGGTCGATGGTTTGCTTCTCGGGGCTGGGGAAGGGTTGGGGAGGGATGAGGAGGAGTAGGAGGAGGGGATGAGGAGTAGGGTGAATGGGGGGATTACGGTGATGATGATGATGATGATGATGATGATGATGATGATGATGATGATGATGATGATGATGATGATGATGATGATGATGACGACGATGCTGATGATGATGGTGATGGTGATGGTGATGGTGGTGATGGTGATGGTGATGATGATGATGATGATGAGGATGATGATGGTGATGGTGATGGTGAGGGTGATAATGATGGTGATGATGATGATGAGGAGGAGGAGGAGGAGGAAAAGGAGGACCCGTATAAACCCAAGGCTGCTCAACGATGTTTGAGTACACCGTCCCTCCAAGCTCCCTCCTTGTAGGTCCCTACAATTTCTCTTCCACTGAGGGAAATGACTCGTTGGGGGACAACCGTATGAAAATTCTGAAGCGTGCCAGAACACCATTTTCAGGAGTTCAACGCCACGAGTCACCTTGACAGTTGAGTGTTGACGATCTCGAATCGTGCCACAACATTATTTCTCACACTCACCGCGAACCAACGTCACTGTTGCACCTTGACAATCTCGAATCGTTCCAAAACAACTTTCCTGGTTCTCTAGCCATGGGAACCAGTGAAACTCTTGCAAACTTTTGAAGCGAATGTGCTCCGCGCTCAGGCTAGAACCACATTTTGAAAAGGAACCGCCCTCAATCCGTGAAGCTCCTGCACATTTTGAGGACGAACGTGCGCGGCGCTCAGGCTAGAGCCACATTTTGAAAACCACCTGTCTGCACGGCGTGAAGCTCTTGCATTTTTTGAAACAACTGTGCGCGGCGATAAGGCGAGAGCCACATTTTGAAAACGACCTGTCCGCAATCCGTAAGCTTGCCAATTCAAATAAATGTGCGCAGCGCTAAGGCCTTAGTCGTTCTTAAAAGCGCTGCTTTTCTCCCGTTTTCAACTTTTCGTGTTGCGATTGACCAAACCGTAAATCAAACGGCAACCCCAAAGATAACAAACAACGACACCGGCGGGGCCCCAAACGAGCGAAACACGGCAGCCTACAACAGAAAAACAATGGAAACCCAAACCAGAAAACATTGAACAGCCACGAGAGCACTGCAGTTAAACCAATTAGACAACGGATCGCAAAACGACCGAAAGCGTCAAGACGACAATCCCCAAACGGAGAAACACAGTTCCCAAAACAGAATAACAAACGTCGATCTCGAAAACGGGAATAGAAACGCCTCCTGCGTTTTTCAGAACATCTAAGGCTACGGCGAGAACCACAATTTGAAAACCACCTGTCCTCAATCTGTGAAGCTCTTGTATATTGTTTGAAACGAATGTGCGCGGCCCTAGTGCGATAGCCACATTTTGAAGACCACCAGCCCTCAGTCCGTGACACACTTTGCTCTTTTTTAAGACGATTGTGCGCGGCGCTAAGGCGGGAACCATGTTTTGGAAACGTCCCGCCTTCCATCCGTGAAACTGTTGCCAGTTTGTTGGCTTCAGTCCGAAAAGGTTGAGATTTTTTTTTGCAAAACGCCAGTCCCGCCCTTCCCACTGGCCTCGGGAACGACAGGGAGGAATTTGTCACAAGAAAAGTTTGGAGGAGGAGGACGAGGAGGAAGGGGAGGAAGAGAGTGAGGAGGAGGAGGCGGAGGTGGAGAAGAAGGAGGAGGAGGAGGAGCAGGAGGATGAGGAGGACGAGGAGGAGGAGGAGGAGAGGAGGAGGAGGAGGCGGCGGAGGAGGAGGAGGAGGAGAAGAAGAGGGAGGAGGAGGACCATAATAAGTCAACTATGCGTGCATAAACGATGCTGCAAGTCCCCTCCTCATGCGCCCGTGCATTTTTTTGCACCAAGAAGCGCCCCCTTTGCAGGACAAGCACACTGGGGCCTGCCATTTCGGCGAGGGCGCCGCTTTTTCAAAAGAGTTGTCGTGCATCTTATTGGCGCGCATTCAGAAACGCTAGGGACACCGATTTTACAGTTCAGCGATGTGTCCAGCGAGATCCCCCTCTCGAAGAAGGACCTCCCCCCATCCGTCTAACTGTTGCGCAATTGTGCACTTTTGGATGTTCCAAGCGGTAGTGTAAGTTTGAGCAAGGCACTCCATGGTCCTGTGCAGCGCTACATGAGTGGAATTTTCGGGCTTGTAGACTTGACGGATTCCCAGACGAGAACCCTATTTTAAGATCAATTTCAACAAGCAATGGTAGTCGTTCATCCTGCTCAACGCTGCGTCAAAAAACGATTGCGGGCGGCGCTGAGGCCAGAGCCCCGCAGTGAAGACGACCAGTGCCAAATCCTTTCAGCGGTGAGACGAGTGCTCTCGGCGCTGAGGCCAGAGCCCCACGTCGAACAAGAGCCGCCCTTCATCCGTCAATCTGGTGCAACCTGAAAGCGAATGTGCGCGGCGCTAAGGCGAGCGCACCAGTCTGCACACCTTTCCCTTTCCACCCGTGCACTTGCTTCACACTTAGAACACAGTTCGCGGCGTGAAGGCGACAACCACAGTTTGAGCATGAGCCGTCGTCCATCCGTGCAGCTGGTGCAAACCTTGAACACGCACGTGCGTGGCCCTAAAGCGAGACACACAAAGGCGAGGCTTACTTTGAAAGAGGGGGCGCCCTCCATCTGTGAAGCGGTTGCAAGCTTTCGTGACGACTGTGCGCGGCGCTGAGGCGAACACCACATTCTGAACACGACCTGTGCTCCATCCTGGGAGCTGTCGCACACGTTCGAGACGAATGCTCGCGGCGCGAAGGCGACAACCACATCTTGAGAACGACTCGTGCTCCATCCGTGAAGCTGCTGCAGATTCTTGAGATAATGTTCGCGGCGTTGCGGCGATGACTGCATTTTGCCCCGCTCCATCCTTGAAGCTGCTGCACACTTCAAGCTTCATGGCTGTGCATGGTGAAGCAGTCTTCGGCGACACGCCCAGCCCGCCCCGCCGACACTCGACAGGGAGGAACTGTTCATGGAGGCAAGATCTGCAGGATGATGGTAGAAACATGAAGTAGGAAGGCGTTGGAAATACATTGGGTTTCCGTCCGCCTCCTGAAGAGGAAGCACGAGGGCACACCGCTCGACTCTTGAAGTAGGAAGGCGCTGAAAGTAGATTGGAATCTGGGAATCCAAAGATACCTACTTTCAACGACCGATGGGTACATATATATATATATATATATATGGTCCAGGGTTTGGGCCCCCCCCCCCAATGCTGATGCCATTGGGCCCCCCCCCCCCCGCGCGATGGTCCCCCCCGCCCCCCCCTGTGGGCGTGGCGTGGTGCTGCGCTGCGGTTCCCCCCCTCCCCCCCCTGTGGATGTGGTGTGGTGCTGTGGTGGTTCAGAGGTGGGCGTGGCGTGGTGTTGCACTGCGGTGCCCCCCTCCCCCCCCCTGTGGATGTGGTGTGGTGCTGTGGTGGTTCAGAGGTCGTCGTCGTCGTCGTCGTCGTCGTCGTCGTCCTCGTCGTCTCGTCGTCCTCGTCCTCGTCGTCCTCGTCGTCGTCGTCGTCGTCATCGTCGTCGTCGTCATCGTCGTCGTCGTCGTCATCGTCGTCGTCGCCGTCGTCATCGTCGTCATCGTCGTCGTCGCCGCCGCCGCCGGCGTCGTCGCCGCCGCAGCCGTCGTTGTCGTCGTGGTCGTCGTCGTCGTCGTCGTCGTCGTCGTCGTCGCCGTCGTCGCCGTCGTCGTCGTCGTCGTCGTCGTCGTCGTCGTCGTCGTCGTCGTCGTCGTCGTCTCGGGGTATGGTCCTGGGGGGGGGGGGGCCCGAGGAGTCCTGGGACCATACCATCCGGGGGGGGGGGGGGGGCGGGGGCCCGTGGGCCCTCGACCCTGGATCATATATATATATATATATATACATATAACGGCGCACCGGGTCCGGGGGCCCGGGGCCGGGACCCCGACCACAAATGTGGGCCCCGGGGGGCCCAGAGGCTCGTCGGACCGCCGGACGCCGTCCAAGATCGTTCGCAGGCGGCTTCGGAACGCGCTCCGATGGCTCCAGATGCCTTCCAAGACGCCTGTCATGACACCAAGAAGGTCCCAGAAGCCTCCAAGACGCTCCGAGAGGCAGCCCAAGAGAGGCCCAAGAAGCAAAAATCGTGCCATTCCTATGGGAAAACGTATATTTTTCGCATGTTCGCCTCTTGGGCTTTCACCGCGTCCAAGACGGCCCAAGAGGCGCCCAAGACGGTCTACGAGGCCTCCGGGAGCGCTCCAAGGCTGCGCACGAGTGGCCCAGGACGGCCCCAAGACGGCCGAAGAGAGCCCCAAGACGAGTTCGAGAGGGGTCCCAGACGGAGAAAGCCAACCTCGAATTCCGAGCTTCCGGCCCAAGAGGCTCCAGGAGGCGCCAAAATGCCGCCAAGAGGCGCCAAAAGGCTCCCAAAAGCACCCCAAGACGTTCCGAGAGGCACCCCAAGAGAGGTCCAAGAAACAAAAATCGTGCCATTCCTATGGGAAAACGTATATTTTCGCATGTTCGCATCTTGGGCTTTCACCGCGTCCAAGACGGCCCAAGAGGCCTCCAAGACGGCCTAGGAGGCCTCCGGGAGCGCTCCAAGGCTGCGCACGAGTGGCTCAGGACGGCCCCAAGACGGCCCAAGAGAACCCCAAGACGACTTCGAGAGGGGTCCCAGAAGGAGAAAGCCACTCTCGAATTCCGAGCTTCCGGCCCAACATATCCCAGGAGGCGCCAAAACGCCGCCCAGAGGCGCCAAAAGGCTTCCAAAATCAGCCCAAGACGTTCCGAGAGGCACCCCAAGAGAGGTCCAAGAAACAAAAATCGTGTCATTCCTATGGGAAAACGTATATTTTTCGCATGTTCGCATCTTGGGCTTTCACCGCGTCCAAGACGGCCCAAGAGGCCTCCAAGACCGCCCCAAGACGGCCCAAGAAGCTTCCAAGAGGGCCCCAGGACAGCCCAAGAGGGCCCCAAGACGGCCCAAGAGGCGCCCAAGATGGCCCAAGAGGGCCCCAAGACGGGCCCAAGAGGGGGCCCAGAGGGGGACCACGAACCGCAAGCTCGAGCCTTCCGCCCCAAGAGGCCGCCAGGAGGCCCCAAGGAGGCCCCTCAAGAGGCCCCAGGAGACCCCCAAGAGGCCCAAAGGAGGCCCCGAGAAGCCCCAAATCGGCCCCCAAAATGCTTCGAACCTGCTTCCAGGAGGCCCCCGACAGGTTCAGAGGCTCCCGAGAAGCTACGTCAAACTCCCAGCGAGCGGCCGGACGAGGCCCCCCACAAAATCACAAGAGGGTTCCAGTATTTGTATCCTTCAGCGCTCTCTGGCCTTCTTCCCCCTGCCCCCTTCCCTGCGACTTTCGTTGACTCAAGCTCGCCTCCTAGCTAGAACCTAAGCGCGCGAAGCGCGCGCGTGGTTCTAGTATATATATATATATATATATATATATCGGATCTATCGGAGGTGAGGGGGTGAGATCGAAGTGGAACGGAGAGCCCCCCTACCGGGAAATCGATTTCGGTTTCGTGTTCGTGCGTGCCGTGCGCGCGGGCGAGGCGAAGCTGCGTGGGCGGGCGAGAGGAAAGTCTCCTGTGGCTGAGGCGCGGCCGGACCAAATGTGTCTCTTCCGGGCGGCCGGTGGCGCGCGGTGTCCCGCCGGTGTCCCGCTGGTGTCCCGTCGGTGTCCCTGTGGCTGAGGCGCGGCCGGACCAAATGTGTCTCTTCCGGGCGGCCGGTGGCGCGCGGTGTCCCGCCGGTGTCCCGCTGGTGTCCCGTCGGTGTCCCTGTGGCTGAGGCGCGGCCGGACCAAATGTGTCTCTTCCGGGCGGCCGGTGGCGCGCGGTGTCCCGCGGGTGTCCCGCCAGTGTACCGTCGGTGTCCCGTCGGTGTCCCGATGATGATGTGGATGATTATGATGATGATGGTGATGATGGTGATGATGCTAATGGTGATGATGATGATGATGATGATGAAGATGATGATGATGATGATGATGATGATGATG